ACCAGAGCTGAGGGAAGCAGGTTCCCCTGGATGAGGTTTGTCACCAGCATACTGACCGAGGACTTCTGGGTGACGTCGGACACAACCTCCCTGCTGCTGAAATCCAGTGAAAGTCTGCTTTCATCCAGGCCATCAAAGATGAACAGAGCTTTACAGACAGCCAGCTCCTCTGCTGTGACCTTCTGTAAGGTTGGATGGAAAACATGGAGCAGCGTGAGAAGACTGTGCTGCTCATGTCTGATCAGGTTCAGCTCCCTGAACGAGAGCAGAACCAGCAGGCTGACATCTTGGTTTTCCAAGCCCTCTGCCCAGTCCAGAGTGAACTTCTGCACCGAGAAGGTTTTTCCAACACCGGCGACGCCGCTCGTCAGAACCGTTCTGATGCGTCTCTGTTGGTTGGGAAACGCTTTAAAGATCTGATGGCACTTGATTGGAGTGTCCTGGAGGGTCTTCTTCTTGGAAGTGGTCTCAAGCTGCCTCACCTCATGTTGGGTATTGACCTCTTCACTGTGTCCCTCTGTGATGTAGAGCTCAGTGTAGATCCTGTTGAGGAGGGTTTCACTTCCTGTTCCATCAGTTCCTTCAGTCACACGTTCACATCTGCTCCTCAGACTGATCTTATGTTCATCCAGCACCTCCTGCAGACCACCACCGGCTGAAAGACAAGAGACAGTTAAACATGACTTTGTCTTACACAGAATCTCTACTGTGAAGTTCTCAGTCAAAACTTAGGACAAGAAAAACAGTCTCACTTGTTCTGGATCCGTCTCCACACTGGGGACAGGAGGAGCATCCTGATGAGCCAGACTGGTCCCAGTATGAGGTCAAACACTGTCTGCAGAACCAGTGTCCACAGCTGGTAGAGACTGGGTCCTTCAGGACGTCCGGACACCGAGCACAGCGGGACAGCTGCTGCTCCTCAAAGCCATGACTTATCTTCCTCCGTCTGTGGACGTCAACACATTGTTTATACCAAGACATCAGCAGTCGACCGCCCTCGACTCACTAGCTGCATCCAGCTCTTTCCCTACATTTACAGTACCGGTCAAAAGTTCAGACCCCGTCTCATCCAGTGGCTTTTCTTTGTTGCTGTTA